ACGTTTAATCTGAACTTGTAAACAACAGTGTTCCAGGCTTCAGGCTTGGGACCACAATCTTAAGTGAGGTTTTCTTTAGAGCCATTACCAGGGGCAGGAGGATAATTCTGGTTCTCCAAGTGGGTGACTTCCTATCCAAATAGACAGTCATCATCCTTCTTTTATTTAAGTTTCATTCTAAGTGTTTTATTAGCATATATTAACTATACATAACACTGGGTTTCATTACAACATTTTTCATAGATGTTTATGATGGGTCCATTCGCCCCCCATTGCCCTCACTCACTCCCATTAACCCTTTCCTCTTCCCAATAGCCCCCTTTTGTCTTCATGGTTTTTGTGAGTGTGTGGCGCGAGTCTGGGTGTGTGTGTGTGTGTGTGTGTGTGTGTGTGTGTGTGTGTGTGTGTGAGTGAGTCTCTGTGTGTGTGTCTCAGTGAATCCCTTAGGGTTGGTTACAGGATCGTGTTCCCGGTTAGGGGTTATTTACAGGAACATGGGCAATGTACCAGTGGCTACACCACTGTAGAAAATGTCTCTGTTCAGCCAGCAAACCATTAACTGCCTGCACCTCCTCCTCAGGGAGGTCGGGGGTCTCGTATGATTTTGTCATCTTTATTCCCTTTCATATCTGTTTGATTTCATTTTCCCTGCTGGCTAGCATTTGCCCTCTGACACTACAGGAAGCCGAGAGAACCATGAACGTGTTTGCATTTCCCCCATAGGATGTTTGAGCAGCCCGAGAAATACAGCGGCGGGTGTTTTGAGTACTCTCTGGATGAGTTCATTCCACTTCTTCAGCCATGATTCAGCCCTGGAAGGGTCCAGGGACAGTACTGTCAGCTGTGTATGTAGCCAGGCTCACTGGTGTGTGTTTGGGGGGGGGCAGAATTTTCACACCTTTCTGAAGGCGTTGGGTGAGTATCGGAGCAGCAAACACAGGAAGCTCAGATGTTTGATGGCTCGGGACTCTGTGTTCCAGGACACCACCTACATTCCAGCATGCGGCTTTGCGGCAGGTTTTATTTTCCTTCTGACTGAATTAATCACCAGTGTGTTCTAGGACTGGCCTTCTCTGTATAGCTGTGCGGAGAGAGCACGCTCTTATTTAGACAATTCTCGATTCCCTCCATTGCTTTTATGGTAAAGCTTTTTAGATCAAGCATTGTTCATTAGATTAGCTCCTTTTCTAGAAAGACAGTGGTATTTAAAAGCCCTCTGTAAAGAAAGTATTCGAGGTCAGCCCATGTGGCTGAGGAGGGTGAGAGCTGAGGACCCACCCCAGGGGGACAGGCAGAATTGGAATCATTTACACATAAATGAAAAACATTCTTTTTGCAATGGAAACAGACTTGGCTCAGCCTCCCCTGTTGGCACCAGGGTGTAAATTAACATTTTTTTAAATAACACTTTTAGCCTCCTCTCCCAACTTATAGGAAAAGAGAATGGACTTGAGCTTCTCAGAGCTGTGGACTTGAATTTGCAGAGCAGAGTGGCCTGGGGCTGTGTGGGATAGTGACTATTGTATCTGTCAATTCAACACAGCCTAGAGTCACCCGAGAGGGATCCCATAGACCAGGCTGGTTTTTTTAACGTGTTTGTCAGGGATTGTCTTGATTGATACTGACACAGGAGGGCTCAGCTTGCCAGTGGACAGCACCATTCCCTGGGCAGGTGGTTTGGGGCTGTATAACAAAGAGAGCCATCAAGCAGCATCCTTCTTGATTTTTGCTCCAGGGTCCTGCCCTGACTTCCCTCAGTGATGGAGTGTGACCCCAAAGTGTAAGCGAGGTGTGAGCCCTTTTCTCCTGTCAGTCACCTTTGGTGTTCCTCACACCAACAGGAATAAAACTCCAACAGGGACTTTGGAAGCTCACAGTGACATGGGCTTCTGGGTTTCCAGGCCTGGGAGGAGAGCCAAACACCTTCCTCACTGTGTGCTCTGCTGTGGGAGGCGCGCTCTCTGTCCGTCTGCACAGCCAGGTCCTGCTCCTGTTATTTGCACATGAAATGAAAATCTGCTGAAAGGAGGGCCACTGACACACACACACACACACACACACACACACACACACACACACACACACACACACACACACACACACTGAAGTGCAGAGATGGGCTAAATTGCTTTGAAAATCGAGCCAAACGTTTGCTCTATGGACTGGCTTGAAATGGTCTTTATCGAAACACTGGTATCATGATGTTTGTTCTTATTTCAGCAGAGGTGAAAATCAGAGTGCCAGGGGTCAGAGGAGAGTGTCTTTGCCAGTGTGTAGGTCTGGGGGCCCTTGAAGAACAGGCAGGAGCAGACACAGGCTTTTACTTTACTACAGTCGATTCAGACTTACTGACACTTGTCCTCTGTCCTTGTGGACGGGAGAATGGGAGGGGGCCAGAGATGGTTTCGTGCAGCTGTGCCTCCTCTAGAGATGGCTCCTAGCTGAGCTAGCTTGGAAGTTTGTTCCCATAATAGGGGACAACAGCGGGGCCTCGTGGGATTGGCATGATGGCAATACACAGATGAGAGAGAGCTGGGAAGAGGATGTAAACATGCCATTTGCCATACTCTTCCTGCGCCGTCCACCCCTCTTTTTGCTTCTTCCTTTCCTTCCTCTTCCTTCTATCTCTTCTCCATTTGCCCGTACTGATTCTCCTCCACTCCCCACTCCCCTCTTTCTTCTCTTCCCTTCACTTATATCTGAAGCGTTTTGGAGTCTGCATGCATGCCCCCAGCATCTGTATAAACCCACGGCTCTGGTGCACCTCACACCACACTACTCTCACGCCTGTGCCTATCTCTACCCCGGGAAATCTTAAACCTGCCGGCTTCTGAACGGGCATAATAGCATGGTCTCATCATAAGGCTGTTGCCACATTCAGTGTCTCAACCCATGGAGAGCGTGGTGGAACCCGAGCGACTCGTGGGAACCTTGGCTGCTGAGGTACCTGCTTCACACTGGACCTGGGCTGTCCTTTCTTCTCACGTTGCAGCCCTTAGGTTCCTGCTCACCCCAGGTCCCTTCTAAGTTCCTTCTCTGTAGTGAGCACACTGGTTCCATCATGGATGCCCTGGTGGCCCATCTTTACATGTGCCTGAGCTTTTGTAAATCAGAGTGAAGCTAAGAGAAGAGGAAGCGTTCAGTGTTTACCTGGCGCTAGATGAATAACGAGACAGTTCCTGCAAGAGTTAACACTCATCTTTTCTGGCTTCAAGAGTGACCCCTGGCCTCTCTCGGTTTGTCATCACAGTGCATTACCCTCAGAAAGAACTCAACTCCTTCAGTAAGGAAGCCTGAGAGTTAGGGGTTAGGGCCCCCGGGGGAAGCAGGAGAGATGAGCTCACTGTGTTTTGAGTGCAGTTTGCTCTTGGCCTGAGTACAAGCAGCGCCTCCTGGTGGTTGCCAACTGCGCTTGGGAGGGAGAGGGAACATCATTTTTGGAGTGTCAGGAGCCTCTCACTGGTCCCGTCTCCTGGGTCCTATCTCCAGATGTGAAACAAGCAAGAAGTTGGTGCTCATCAGCGTCGGTGGAGTCAGACTTGATGTTTGTCCAAATCCCCATCACAGGAAGCTCAGAGCCTCTTGCTTCTCTCTGTCCCTCTCTTTACTTTAAACGCAGATCCCACTGATGCTTCCCTTCGGATCCCTGACCCGGAATGCTGAACCATCTCCTTTCTAGTCAAGCTTCCTGCCATCCACTCAACTGCCTGGCAATTCACTGACCTTTCTTCCCCATTTCCCCCCAGGGAAGCTGCCTGCTGTGTCTGGACCCCATGGGGTGTCGAGAGGGTTTCAGGACTGAATGCAACTCTCTCTGGTTATAATATGATGCTGCCAACGACTTTGAGGCTCCGGGTTGAAGGATGCTCTGTGAAAGAGCATTGTTATTACATTTTTTGTTAAAATATGGATCAAAGGCTGGCTATACAGTAAAAGTGAGAAATGTTAATTATTGTTATAATATCATAACAAAGCAGATGCTGGGGTGGCTGAATCCCATGAGAAAACCTATTATAATAAGCCAGTGGGAAATGTACATATTACAAAGATATTTGGCAAGGAGGCAGATTTGGTTTTGAAATCTCAATGAACAATTAAGTGGAATAAAAAAAATAACTTTTAATGCTAGGAAAAATATAAGTGTCTTGACAACTCTTTTACATAAAAATAAGAAGCTATCTTTTTTTTTTTTTCCTGTGAAGAAAAGAGGCAACATTATTGCTTTTCTTGTCGCCTCCCAGCAGAAGATATATTTATGGCTTCCTTGGGTGTAGGAAGGATTAAAGCGACGTTCTTCTGCACAATGACCTCTAAAATAGCTCTCTTTATGACAGAGATGAATGGGGAGGGGGTTTGTCCTCAGAGCGAAGAGTAAGTCTGATGGTTTTTGAATTTCAAATGAGCCCACGCTGTCCTGCTTGCATCTTTCCTTCCACGGTGTGTATTCTGTGTGATGGTGTGGCAGAGTGGACCCCTGGACACCATCAATGCTGCTGGAGTCTCTAGCTCAAGCTTTTCATGTCTCCTTAGCTCCCCTGAGCACAGTCCCTCTGCCGGGGATGGAGGAGGAGAGGGAGGAAAAGCTGAGAAGATGGGTTTAGAGAGAATGAGAACCCCAAGAAGGCAAGGTCAACAGAAATCGATCTGTGTTCTAGTGCCCTTTGCAAGTGGGGAGTGTGTGAACTCACCTGGCTTGTGGCACCAATTCCCAGTGGGGGATGGGAAAGGCATCTCCCTCAGTGATCCCAGCATGCATCTGCATGGGGACATGTCTTACCTCAGGGGAAGCAAGGGAGATGGGAGAAGAAGCATGCAGCCTAAAGAGCAGCAGCCACGGTGGGCATGTCCTCAGTGAGCACTGCAGCCAGGGATGACAACAGCCGCCCAGGCTCCTTCTCCACATCCCTATGCCTGGAGAGGCACCCAGCCTATCTGCCCTTTGCTAATTCTTCCCACGTTATCTTTCATTTCTCCTTTACAATTTCCCGTTTCTTTTTCAGAAGTATGCCTGTCACCAGACACCCACGAGCTCCGTGTTTGTTTGTTCCTTGTATCATGTGTCCTCTGGCATGAAGGGAAGCCAGCAGGTAAAACAAAAAACAAAAAAAAAAGGTCACTTTGAGATGAGGTTGGGGCAAAAACTTCTGGACTTTGGCAGTTGAAACGGTTGTTTGACAGGACCAGTTGACAAAAAAAACCAAGGGAACCCATGACCTCTGGGCCCTTGAACTTCTGAGGGACACACCAGCAGAGAGATACCAAGTCTTTACCAGGCACAGCCACCTTCAGGAAGCCTGTTCTTCCCTTTGGGACTGCAGACTGGGGAGGGCTGGCATCTTGGCCATTTCTGGGACAGCAGGGCGATTTCAGGTGTGACTGTCATGACTTGAAAGACAGTCTCAGTGCTGCTGTGAGCGTTTGCACAGCACAGAGTCAGGATGAGGTGAGAAGTGAGCATAAGGTGGGAGGGTCTCTCCACCCTCCCCCCAGCTCTTCCCTCCTTGGCAGAGAACTCCCTAGAACAACAGTCCAGAATTGCCAAGCAACATTGTGAGCACTAAGGAGACAATGTCCGGTCCTCAGGACGAATAGCTACCTCTCCAGATGCTGATGAGCAGCTGGAGAGACCAGAGCCTTTCTCCATGATTGGGGGGTGGGGTTTGGGGGGCTGTTGGTGTGATGATTTTCCATTCCTTCTGTCATCCACATTATTAGTGAAAGAGTACTGCCCGGGTACCAGTCAGAAGGGAGGTGAAGCGAGATGCGCTGGCCAGTGGGAAGGAGGTCCAACCTAGAAGTCCACATGTGCAGAGTCATCTGGGGTGAGAGATCAGGGGTGGGACTGGAGGCCAGGCAGCGCTGGAGAGGGATGATCTTAGGGTTCGTTCTTCCTGGGGGGATGAGTTCCTAGGTGGACAAAGAGATGGCAATGAGGAACTTATGGGGGATTGTGGGACTGCAGGAAACAGTGTGCCACATGCTTGGCTCAGGGTAGACTATGAGCCAGTAGAGATGGCTGGGAAGGCCCAGGTACCAGTCAGGCCATGACATAGGTATGTGGGGCTGATACACCTCTACCTAAACTCACATGTTAGAGTCGTCAGCTCTATGACCTTTCAAAGTGATGGTCGCTGGAAGAAAGTACCTTGACTGGAGCAACAAGTCAACGTGTGGTTATTAAAGGGATCACTAATGCCACATGACCAGTGTCCTTGTAGATGTGGCCATGGTGGCAAGTCTGGGGAGGGAAGGCCACGTGAAGAGACATGGCTCTCAGGCTGTAGGCATTCCCATTGCAGCTCAGAAAGGGCAAGAGAGTGACCATGCCCCCTGGAGAGGCACAGAAACAGCAGATCCCATGCAGGCTGAAACTAGGTGCAGGATCCCTGAGACAAGGGCAGGCATATGTCTATGCTTCCATTGCACCCTGGTGCCCCAGGTAGTGACAGCTGGTTAGGCTGGAGGACTTAAGAGACACAAGAGTGACCGAGAGAGAAGTCCCCACCCCATGAATCTGAAGCCTCTGATTCCATTGGTTGTAGTGCACACCAAGACAGCCCAGCTCCTGGCCAGATGGACGGGAGCCTCAGTCTGCTGCTCCGTTTGATGCCGCACATCCACCCTCTTCCCACCTTAAGAAAAAAACGCCATGAGTTAGGCAGACTATTTACCACCCAATAATGTCTTTTTGTAAAAAATGTTTTTACCTTTGATCAAAACAAAGACGAAAATAAGATGAGCCAGGCTCTCAAGTTTCAGTAAGAGCACGTGTGCTGGCTAATTTTATGTCGACTTGACACAGGCCAGAGTCATCTGAGGGGAGGGAACCTCAGCTGAGAAAATGCCTCCATCTGATCGGGCTGCAGGCAAGCCTGGAGAGCATTTTCTTAATTAGTGGTGGATGGGGGAGGGCCCAGCCCCATTGTGGGTGGGGCCACCCCTGGGCTGGTGGTCCTGGGTTCTATGAGAAAGCAGGCTGAGCAAGTCATGAGGAGCAAGCCAGTAAGCATCACTCCTCCATGGCCTCTGTCTTCAGGTTCCTGCCCTGCTTGAGTTCCTGACTTGGCTTCCTTCAGTGATGATCTATGGATGTGGAAGTGTAAGCCAAACAAACCCTTTACTCTCCGACTTGTTTTTGGTCATGGCGTTTCATCATAGCAGTAGTAACCTTACCAAAGACAGAAATTGGTACCAGAACAGAAGCAAATCGCTGTGACAGGCCTGACCATGTTTTGAGGAGGATTGTGCAAGGACTTTGGGCTGGAAAAGTTATTGAGTGTTGAGAGTTCAGTGGGTTGTTCTGTTGGAGGTTTGAAGAAGAGAATGCCGATATCAGTTCAGACAATGGAGGCCCGGCTTTCCAAGTTTCAGAAGGAAGCACAGACCCTGTTGGGCCATTTGTATGAAGAGTCTGTGGTGACTGGTCAGCTGGAGCTGAAGAAATAGCTGTGATTAACAAGAGAACAGAACCACTGAAGTGAAAACCTTTGTTTTGCTGGGACAATGGACGCTGGTCAGCTGGGGCCGAAGAATCGGCTGTGATTAAGAAGAGACCAGCATCCTTGAGGTGAAATCTTCAGGAAAGTGTTTCCTCAGGGCCGGCACATGCAAGCTGTGTTCAGAGGTGGCCAAGGTTGTACCTCATCCTGGCAGCTGAACTGGATAGTGTAAGAGTCACCCAGGTGGTCCTGGTTTTGAGGGCACGAAGGAGTCATGCAGAACAGCTGAGGCTTGGCACTGTGGGGGGCCACTGGCGAAGGTGCAGCCCAGTTGAAGCAGAAGACCCCGGCATTTTGAGGTGGCAGGACCATGGGACAACCACCAAGAGCAAAGCAGCTGTGGAGTGGAGCCGGCTGGAGCCTGGAAGACAAGCTATGTGTGCTGCAGAGGGCGGAGCTGGAGAAGTGACCCGAGCCCTTTAGAAGAGCCCAGAAAATCGTGAGTAAATCCCAGATATTGGACACCGAAGCATTTACGCTGTTGGAGTTTGGTTTTGCTTTGTTCAGATTGTGACCATGCCCTGGTTTTTCCCTCTTGAAGTAGGAAAGTGTTTAGCTTATTTTTTATTTTATAGGAACCCACAGTTGAGAGATTTTGAATTTAGATTTCAGATTTTAAAGGAGACTTTGGATTTTGACAGAGACTGAACTTTTAAAGTGTTTGAATTAGTCTTTACAATCATGGGGATGAACCAGAAAAGGGAAAGGTTATGTCTTAAAAACTGTTTTGTGTCAAGTTGACAAGGGGACAAGTGTGCTGGCTGATTTACTGTGAACTTGACACAATCTAGAGTCATTTGAGAGGAGGGAGCCCCAGTTGAGAAAATGCCCCCATAAGGTTGGGCTGTAGGGAAGCCTGGAGGGCATTTTCTTAATTAGTGGTTGATAGGGGAGGGCCCAGCCTATGATGGGTAGTGTCATCTCTGGGCTGGTGGTCCTGGGTTCTATAAGAAAGCAGGCTGAGTAAGCCATGGGGAGCAAGCCAGTAAGCAGCACCCCTCCATGGCCTCCACATCAGCTCCTGCCTCCAGGTTCCTGCTCTGACTTCCTTTGATGAGGAACAGTGATGTGACAGTGTAAACCCAATGATCCCTTCCCTCCCCAACTTGTTTCCAGTCGCACTGTTTCATCACAGCAATAGTAACCCTAGCTGAGACAGTGAATGAAGATGTTTTTGATTGCTGAGTACCAAACTGTCTCTGGACACACAGGTTTCACAGCGAATGCCATGTGTTGCGGCACTTGGCACTTGGCTGCTGAAGTCCTTCAGTTCAAGTCCCCAGGAGGGAGCCACATGGGGTAGTGGTTGCGATAGTGCTGGATGAGGTCTGTTGGTATCTGGGGCTCCTCTTTTTACTGTGCTGAGTTCCCAGGAGCAACCCCGAGACACAGTAAAAACCTGAAGCAGCCTCCATCTCTGCCCTCCCTCATGCCTTGACAAGAGGGACTGACTGCATGCAAACAGCTTGCAAAGAGGTAGGCTAGGGAGACCAGCCTTGCCACCATCAGCAATTGGCGCAAGGAGGTGGTGGAGAATGAGGAGAGGCCAGCGAGGAGGTGGTGGAGAATGAGGAGAGGCCAGCGAGGAGGTGGTGGAGAATGAGGAGAGGCCAGCGAGGAGATGGTGGAGAATGAGGAGAGGCCAGCGAGGAGGTGGTGGAGAATGAGGAGAGGCCAGCAAGGAGGTGGTGGATAATGAGGAGAGGCCAGCGAGGAGGTGGTGGAGAATGAGGAGAGGCCAGCAAGGAGGTGGTGGATAATGAGGAGAGGTCAGCAAGGAGATGGTGGAGAATGAGGAGAGGTCAGCAAGGAGGTGGTGGAGAACTGAGAGAGGCAGGTTTTCTAGCCCTGGTGGGGAGCTAGATGCTCTTTTGTGCCAATTGATGAAGAGCAGTCAAGTCCCGGGGTCTTTTATGGGAAGGGTACTCTGTATTGCACTGCTGGATCTTCATTACTTGTCACTGTAAGTGGGGTTTACTCCACATCTCTGGACAAAAGTCAGCCGCACAGCTTCAGTCAGAGTTAGTACTGTCCAGCTGAAAATGTTATGTGTGGAAACAAACAAACAAAAAAAACAGAGTATTTTCTCAATTCAACCACCCAAGTCATCGCCCGAAGCATGTGAGCGATTGTCACCTAGAGGGCTGGGCTCTGGGCAGGAGAGGTCCGTGGGCAGATGTGGGCTGAGAGTGTGGTCGAAGGCTGGGGGCACGGGCAGGAGAGCTGCCATCAAATTGCAGTCCTTTTGGGGCATCCTTTAAAAGTAAACATTGGGTGGTCTTCCTAGGGAGAGATTATCCCTGCAGACTGGGTGTAGGTGGAGACGCTGCAGTCACAGCTGTGTCTATTTCTGGAAGGCTAGCAAACCACCTTGTCCGTGACACTCAGCTTTGTGTCTCTGGTTGGATTTCATCGATCCCATGGGGGCACTGATCTGGCTCTTTCCCTCTAAGCAGGGAATGAGGGAGGAGTTGGGAGAGGAACCTCATTTGAGTGGACCCAGCCCTTGGTGCTGTAGCTTCCATATTTAAAATACGTATTTTGTTCCTCGAGAATTTCATACGTGTATACAGCAAACTTTGATCATTTCTCCCTTCCTAGTCCCCCACCCCCACCCCACCCCAGACCTCATACTCACACTGTGGCGGTACCTGAAGTCCATTTCCTATAACCTAACCCTAACCCTGAGTCTTACCTGTGGGTGGCTTTACTCTTGAAAACATGTGTCTTCAGACTCTGCTTCCTGCTTTGGTGGCATTAGAGGCTAAAGCATTAACATGTCTTGTTTTCTAAAGCAAGTATGACCATTTTCCTTCACTTCTCAAGTCTCATATGCAGACATTGATTGCACAGTGATTGCCACGACATATTTAGTTAAGAAATAAAACTTCTCTACAATAGCACTCTGGCCAGGGAAGCAGATCAGCGCCTTGCTTAGCCATCCTCAGAGGAGTGAGTGTCCTCCTTAGCAAATGGGAACAAATAGACACCCGCAGGTAGACATTATGCAGAGAGCGAGAGATCTGGGAACACTCAGCCCTGAATGGGATGTCTCCATCAAATCTTTCCCCTCAGAGCTCAGGGAACCCTGTGCATAAGGAGGGAGAAAGGGTGTAAGATCCAGAGGGCATGGAGTTCAGCAAGAAAACAAGGCCTTCTAAACCAGCTAAACAAAGTTCGTATGGACTCAGAGTCTGAGGCAGCATGCGCAGGGCCTTCATGGTCAGCAGCAGATCCTCTTTGTAGATATTATAGCTTCCAGTTTCATGTTTTGATAGGTTTCCTGAGTGTGCAGTTGAGTGGGTCTCTGATTCTTGTGCCTTCTCTTGGTTCCTTGTGTCCAATTTGGATGTGTTAGTTTTTATTATATTAGTAGTATATTATTATCCCTAAAAGCCTATTTGTTTTCTAGTGAGAGACAGAAGGGAGTGGATCTGAACAGGAGGTGAGGTAGGGAGGAATTGAGAGGAGTAGAATGAGAGGAAACAGTAATCAAGATAAAGTATGTTAAAGATAATCTATTTTTAAAAATAATTACAAAGTAAAAAAAACAAAGTAACAAAAACCCAAGCCCTGTGATAGCATCGTTCCTCTGGTCTTAATAAATCCCGAGAGCGTGGGGGTGTGAGAGTGGGAGGCACTGAGGAAGGTGTGACAGCATTTCCCTCTTCAGGCTGGCAGGAGATGCACAGCCATAAGCTGATGTCCACAGCAGACTGTGGTCCCTTAATTCTTTAGGGACCACGCCTCAGCTGTATCCTGGGCTTCGAAGCAAAATTTCAGGAGCCAATCCAAAGAGGAGGTACAGTTTATTCAAAAAAACATCTAAAACAAATCATTTAAAAAATGTATTCTTGCCGGGCGGTGGTGGCGCACGCCTTTAATCCCAGCACTCAGGAGGCAGAGGCAGGCGGATCTCTGTGAGTTCAAGGCCAGCCTGGTCTACAGAGCGAGTTCCAGGAAAGGCACAAAGCTACACAGAGAAACCCTGTCTCAAAAAAACAAACAACAACAGCAACCAAAAAGTATTCTTTGAAAACCACATGCATTTGTACAGTTTATTTTGATTGTATCTACTACCCTCTACCACCCTCCAACTTACCCTGTGACACACCAACCTGTTTCCCTCATGATTTCATGTCATCGTCATCATCGTCCCCCTAGGTTCAACTAGTGCTGACCATCCATGAATGGCTTTGGAGATATATTCTTGGGAATAGGCAACTTCCTAGTGATCACATCCCCAGAGAAAAAGTGGCTCTCCTCCCTCCCTCAACAGCCAACAGCTCTTCTATTGTGTGTGTGGGGGGGGGCGGGCGGGGGGAGGTGACTTGAGCGCCCCTCCCCCATCCACGCTGGGATTGTGACTAGATGGAACTTGGGCAGGTCTCGTATAGGCAACCCCCACTGCTGTGAATTGATGTGTGGATTAGTCGTGTCCGTATTTAAGAGGGGTTAATAGAAAGTTAGTGGAGCAGGTAAGAAGACCCGGTAGAGAAAGGCGGCTGTCATGATGATGACCTGAGTTTATTCCCCGGGACCCACACGGTGGAAGGAAGAGAACTGACTCCTGTAGCTTGCCCTCTGACCTCTACACATGTGCTGTGGTGCACCCATGAACATATAAAAAGTAATAAAACTTTAAAAGAAATTATAAAGAGGAGGTGATCAAGGAAAGAAGGCGGCACACGTGGGAGCCTGGTGTGGGCTTCTCAAAGGAGAGCCATACTTCATTGTCTTTCCAAAAGCCATAGATGGAGTCTTGATGAGCTGTGTAGTTGGTTTTTTTTTACTCTTTGGGGGCCCGCCACTGAGCTCTCAAATACAGGGAGACTTATTCTTACTTATGAATGCCTGGCCTTAGCTTGGCTTGTTTCTAGCCAGCTTTTCTAACTTGAATTATCCCGTTTCTCTTTAACTACGCTTTGCTTCTGGGATTTTTACCTTTCTTTAGTCTGTATATCTTTCTTTCCTTCTTACTCCATGGCTGGCTGGGTGGCTGCTCCCTGGCATCTTCCTCTCTTTCTCATCTTCCCGCTCCTTGTTCTCTTCCCTAGATTTCTCCTCCTGTTTATTCTCTCTGCCTTTCGGTCCCATCTATCTCTCTCCTGCCTTGCTATTGGCTGTTCATCTCTTTCTTAGAGCATCAGGTGTTTTAGGCAGGCAAAGTAACAGAGCTTTACAGAGTTAAACAAATGCAACATAAAAGAATGTAACACATCTTTGCATCACTAACCAAATATTCCACAGCATAAACAAATGTAACATGTCTTAAACTAATATTCCATAACAGAGCTCTGAAGCTGTTTTCTCCAAATGGTGGCCGAGAAGTTTAAATAAGATTGCAGGGTGTTTCCTGAGGTGCTTCCGGCAGGATTATACTTGATAAAATGAAACTCTCCATCCTGGGGATGCTGGGAGCTAGGATCTCACTCCTGT